TCGATTGATCGACATCGCTTGTCGGAGGAGGAGGAAACGCCGTAGTCGAAGTGCGACCCTTCAATTTTCAGAAAACGGTTATTTCTAAAGGAGAGAAGGAGGAGTTGCTTCAACCCTTAAGAGTTCAAATTTCCCGACAGGTGTAAAAGATTGATAGTTTCAGTACTTCACCCGTCGCGGCCGCGCAACAACGCGTCGTGAGGTGTAACGTGGGATTTTTGGAGGAGACGATTTGAGAAAGCTTCGGGTAGGGGCACACCGAGTTCGTTAATGTATTGATAAAGCGGTTTACTCAGGATCTACGCCGGGCATTCAGGCGAACGACGTTGTTAATACCAACGGGAAATCCTTATTCTTGATCACGATAGCGGGGCGATTAATTTTTCGTGCCGTCAAGGATGATGAAATCAAGCAGTCAGCATAATGAGTAGCGTTGTCTGCCGCGCAATTCATCGGGTGTCGCGGGAGCGAAGGGGCGCGGGACGCAGCGGGGGTGGCGCGAAGGCCGGCGGGGTTATTAATATTCAGAACGAGAAGCGGGAGTCGAGAGCAGTGCCGAGTGACAAATACCTAGCGCCCCGTCCCAACCCCGGCACGGCTCAACTCTGTAATTAACGCTAATCTCCAGGCCGTTTCAGAGACACCGTACCACCCACTTCGTCTTCTCTCCCGTCTCTCTGTACTTACCGGGCGGGAGGGTGGCTTTAAGCGGCCGCTCACCAGTCGATCCTCCGACGAAAGCACTCGTCGATGTTTCCCCGCTGAAAAATAAACCCCGCACGACGAAGCAACAATTAATGCCTTTGCCCTTATACAAATTTCATCGCACTTCGGCTCTTTGTGCAAAATTAATGTGTGTGACTCTTTCACTAATATAATTAACAGTGTTTATTTCTTATATTTACTTGACAAGTATATTTATCAATTTTAATTGCCTTATATAATGAATATGTGACAGATTCACACTGCTGAAATATTGTTTGTCGTATTAATTTTGTCATCAGTGAAAACGTTGCTGAATTTAAGGTAATGAGTTTGATATAACCAGTTATCTATAGATAAGAACAAAATTCACCTATATTCATTTCTCGCGTCAAACCTTTGGAAAAGTTAAGAAACCTACTTTATTGTTTGCGCGTATCTTCTTTCAACGAAGTGAAAAAAGGATGCCGCATGGGCGCGGCATCACCGTCGCGGTTTCTGAATATTTTTGCGAACATTACCGTACCGCCGTTCATTCGTCATGTGTGGTACGCATTTAAATTTACAAAACTGTGTACCGTGTTACTAACTGCATACGTGAACGCGCATAAATTTCTTTCGCAGGACCCATAGAACTTCGGAAGAAATTCCCCGACGTATGTGCAAACTTGAAGTTACAAATTACAGCGTAAAAATGAAAAGAAAAGATTGTCGCTGGCTCTCTTTACATTGTATATATACTTATACTATTTGTATGGCAGTTAAACACACACACAAGAAGAATTAAACGTTAAGGAAAAATTCAAGAAGTCATACAAGTGACTTCAAACGAAGTTGTCAGAAAACTGATTAAAGTGGAGTACATTTATCGTGCTTCGTGCTAACTAATTTCGAAATTTTGACATAGACATTAAAACAAATGGAAGAACGATAAAATTAGGCAGAAAAAAAAGGAATTAGCTGTCCACATAATACAGCTGAAATTTAGTTACTATACCTAGTTTTAGCGTGGGGGTTAAAAATTAGGTACGCGAACAAGGAAATTAGCTAAATTAACTAAATTTTAGTTGTATTTTATGGATAGCTAATTTCTATCTATGACAGCTAGTTTTTATCTGTAGAAGTTAGTCTTTAGGGAGCTAATTCTATTTTCCATGCAGCGTAACGAATAGCGCTGCCTATCGTGCAATTCATCGGACGTCGCGGGTATAAGAAGCGCATTTAAATTTATCTGACCGCGACGATAAAAGTCCGCGACACAATTACGTTTTCGAGATGTCAACTAAATCAGATGAACTCAGATGCCGACTAAACTGTGGGGGCGCTAACATTTTTCCGAAGCCCTGCGTAACGAGCAGGACTCGCAGCCAGTATTGAAGTACGGAAATACAGAAGTACTTGATTAAAGATACACACATTCAACGGCGTGAGATCCCCGAATGAGCTGGTGGCTACCTTTTATCGCGAGGGATTATTTTCTGGACAGTGTACAACAATTTAGGTGAAGGGACGAAACGGACGTGCGCCCAGGTACTTCTGGTCGTCGCAAGCTGCTCTAATCGAGTCCCCCCGATGCCCTGAAACCACCGGTGTTTCTTCCGTCCGATGAGGGCGAGAAAGAGAGAGAGAGAGAGACGTGGTCGGAGAGGGAAAGAGGGAATACGAGGGAGAGAAAAGGCGGCCAATCCAATTCCGCGCTCAAGCCCGACCGTCGTGATGGCGGAGGGTGGCGAAAAAACGCAGCCACGGCCGGAGCGCAAGGCGAGCGGTAGGTCTCCGGGCTTTTTTGCGTTTAATCAAGGATATTCGCGGTCGGCTGGCTCGCTATTTTAGTCCGCCGAGTGTTAACCGAGGCGCGCAACCACCACCGGGTATCATACCGCAGAAAGTGGATGAAGGAATCTTCGTCCTTTGACCTCGCGGGAACTCGCTCTTACCTCGCAATCGTCCGTAACGGTCCTTGTTGTAAATTGCGCCGCATTCATGTTGTTGTTTTTGCTCTCTGCGTCTCTCTCTCTCTCTTTCTCTCTCTCTCTCTCTCTCTCTCTCTCTCTTCCTGTCATATTCTTCGGTTTCTTACAATTGATCAGATGTACCAGCATGCGGTGTTGTGAGCGTACGGAGCAGTTGTGAGGGAATAAAGCGGCGGATAAGCAGGTTACAGGTGTCATAAAATCCCAGGATTATGCCGTTCGTTTAAATAATCGCTTAAATTATACTGTACGGCCGGTACGTCGTGTATGTTGCATCATACCCTAGACGGGGAGTTTACAAGGTTGAAAATTGCAGAAGTAACTCTAATTACAACGATAATACCTTTAATTATAATAATTTCAACCTTATGTGTACATGTGAAAGGCAATAGCGGATAACATTCTTCTTCAAAAATTGCACAATAACGAAAATTGTCAATTTAGGAAATAATACAGCATATATGACGCCGACAGTATACTCGATGACGTAAAAGAAAATATGTAGAACATGTCGTAATATATAGAGTAAAGTTTATAGGTTCGTTTCTATAGGGATTCTCATCAAGGGGGGTATAATACGTATGATGGGATTATGGCCCGATACAATGAATCGAGATCGGATCAATTCTACTCAACTGGATGAAGAGCCGTGAAGAGATGTCGAGGAATCATTTGATTCGTAGAATCTAATAAAATCGATTAAAGACACGACATCCCTTTCATTACTATCATCATAGTCTAGACGTGATGTAGTTGGAGACGACAGCTCTAATTTCGTCCTTAAGCATCAAGTATCCCCGCTGTCACTCCCATAAATTACTTCACCTCGATGACGCGGTGATCGTCGAAAACACCCTCTGAGTTTCCACTGGGTCACTCTATGAAGGCCTCCATGGGCTAACCATCCTTCTCGGCAAGGTTATCGTGATGACTACACGATAATCTTCCGTCAATAAAACATATTCGGGAAAATCGTATCGTGATCCGATATGTAATCATTATTATATCACTTCGCTACGAATAGAAAACGACTACAATTACACGAAACACGGGTGGAGAGATTTAATATCCGAAACTTATCCGACACGCATTCGTAATAAACGCACGGTACAAGAAAATCCACCAACAGTCAAAAGTCCGAGAACTTACGCATCCCAAGTATACACATATCGACGAAATCTCTGATTAACTACGCGTAATTTCAAACACGTTGAAGCAGGAATTAAGGAGCGCTCCTCTCGAGAGGTAAGCTCCATTAAATGCCACTTCGGTATAATAACTGGAAACAAGTGGCGATAATACTCGAATTCCGAGGATATATCAATGCCCGGAAGGGTAATGGCGCAAATGACAAAAGGGTTTTGCTCCTTCAAGGAGCAAAGCCGTGTGATAATCATGGATGACGCTGGTCGAAACAATGCGCTCGGCATCCGTCGGCCCCATCCCCCCCGATACAGAAGCGCGAGTTTCGTCTACCGGTCCGGGGGAGGAGGGCGGGGGGGGGAAAGCGGGAGCGATGTCAGAGTACGGTGATGTATGGCTGAAGCGAGCTCGGGAAATACCATGTGCCCCGCCACCCGGCGGCACACGGCAGCCCGTAAGGATTAGGGTGACGACCTACTATATTCTGCAACGCACCGTTTCGAGATGCAATTGGATTCCTTCGGCCGTCACCACCATCCCTCCCATCCATCCATAAATCCTTCATCGTCTACTTACCACTTTGACCGCGGCGATCATTGTTCTCATGTCTACGTGAAGAAAACGTGTCTCGACTTGAGCCTTTAAATGCGAAAGGACAAGATTGATTTGTGGTTCTCGATCTTACGGTACAGTCTTTATGATAATCTGTTATGTATAAACAATAATTAAAATCAACAACTGTGCGATCGGATATCTGTCTAGGTCGCGTGATACGGATGAAACTTCATCTTAAAAAGCGCGAATATGCAGCAGACGTATCTTGTGCGTGATATCACAATTGCAAGATACTGAAATTCACACAGATTTCAATCTATAACTATAAATAATTGAACTAATATTTATTCGCAGATGCGAATTTTATGCAGTTTATACGGCACATATTTTTTTGCAGGCACTCAAGATACAGCTCGTGTACCTGCAGAAGGAAAGCGAACACCAACGGACGGAGGGAAAGTCTTCGAGCTTGCAATACCGTCGAACGATAAAGCTGACTGTGCCTTTATCAGCACGATTTAAAAGCATTCGTCAGTCACTTCACTCGGCGCACGGTGTAGCGCTACGAGAAATGCACGAAAAAGCAAATATTAGATTTCGCTGAGGACAGTAGTCTCACATCGGCGGGCAATGATGGGTCGACGTTCTGTGTTTTATATTCATTTACTTTTAGTTTACCTGTTATTTTATAGCGAGGCAAAATCATATCGCGCTGTGGTTGTTATCCATGGAGTGCTCACTGGAAGCGATAGTATGAATCTCATCATGGACAGAATCCAGGAGGTGGGGCAAAACTACAATGAAATATCTAAATCGCGAATACGCTACGACCGTGAACCCGATTTGAAACCAAATCTTCGATCACCTATGCCGTGTCTAATGAGTGTATAAATATGATATTTTCGGCAAAATGGGATAGTGTAAACACCATAGATTCGTATAGGTTATGTTTTCGGATAAACAATATGTTTCATTATATTTTGTAAAATTTTCTCCGGCATTTCTTAACGTTCACTGGACTCTCTTATACGACAGACGATTTTCCTTTATTAATGGAATGGTTTTGTTTGCATAGATTTTTCTCATCAATGTGACAGTATCGAGTAAAGTAATTAGAAAACAGATACGCGAGATATTTCATATTTTATTTTAAAATATTTTTACGTAAAGAAACAAGATCTCTCACAGAGGATCCACTTACGTCGATCCTTCCGTGCATAGAATAACGAGGAGAATCGATCGATATATAAAAAAAAAGCCACAGCTGTATTTAAAGAAAAGCGCAGCATACATTGCAGTTTTACTGATGTGTATGTACGCAAGGAAAAGGAACATCAATTGGCTCTTCTCGTAATTCTCGCATGAAACGTTAAGCGTGCCGTGGCGAAGGAATTACAAATGCCCGCCATTTCATCTTTTAGAGCTGGCGATCTAGATATTTATATAAAAAGATCTATAGGAAACAAACAAAGCAATAGCGGAACAAAGACACTTATCGATCTCTAAACGTTGTAGTTTTAGCACACGAACGTGGTTCGTTAGATTAATAATAATCTCGAATCTCCTATAAATTACTACGCGTACTCTTTTGTGTCGATAAAAACGACGACGTTACATTGTACCGTGCGTTATTTCTGAATAAAGATGTATTGTGTGTGTGTGTATGTGTGTTGTTCCCCTTATCATATCCTTACTGCTTATCACTGGCAACGCGTCAGTCGGACGTTATTTTTAAGTTCAAGATTGACAGCTCGTCAGCAGAAGTCAAGGTCGTTTGATCTCTCTTTACTCGAGATGTGTCTTTACAGATGCACCCTGGAACTCTAGTCTACAATACCGTTAGATTCGCGGGATGGCGTAGCCTGGAGCCGATGTGGCAACAGGTCGAGGAAATCGGCACCGACGTAGTCTCTATCGGTGCTGCGTTTCCCGAAGGAATTAATCTAATAGGTTACAGCCAGGGAGGTCTGTTGGCTCGGGCAATATTACAGAGGTTTCCGATGCATAATGTGAGAAACTTTATTTCCCTGAGCTCGCCGCAAGCGGGACAATACGGTAGTACGTAGAATCACAGGAATCTATAAGTGAAAAGGATATAAAAAGGCGGGAATTTTCCACTAATCGTGAAATCTTGGTTCCAGCACGCTTTCTGCATCTGATTTTCCCCGATCTAGTTTGCGAATCCGCCTACGAACTCTTTTACTCGCACATCGGGCAACATATTAGCGTTGGAAATTATTGGAACGATCCTCATCATCAAGTTAGTATAATTTTTTTTATTTTATTTTACGCGCTTGTATAAAGGCATTGTGATGTATTACGGCGTGCTGATGTATATTTCTGCTTCTTTCAGGAACTGTATCACAAGTACAGTAAGTTTTTACCATACGTAAACGAAATCGATGCTTTCAACAATACCGACTACAAAACGGGTTTGACTAAACTCAAACGAATGGTGCTTATTGGAGGACCGGATGACGGGGTTATCACACCATGGCAGAGCAGCCATTTTGGATATTATGACAATAATGAGACAGTAGTAGAAATGTACAATAGATCTATTTATAAAGATGACATTATTGGTTTGAGAACGTTGGATGAACAAGGAAGATTGAAAATTATCACTGTGCCAGGAATATCTCATTACGAGTGGCACAACAACGTTTCTATAATAGATGAATTTTTATTGCCATTTTTAGATTAAATTTAATGTGTTTTAAATAAATACTTGCCAAATGTCAAGGTAAAAAATTCGAAAATTACTGCAACTTAAACTTCAAATTTTTGCAAAACATACTTTTCCCCATTTCTAATTTGAAATTTGTAATTAAAATTAAATTAATATAAATTTATTAACAGCAAACGTGAAATACTACATATGCACAAGACTGAAAAATTACATCTCATACATATCATATAAGCATATAGCAATTATATAACTAATGTAAAAATATACTGCAAAAACGGCAATCTGTTTCGTACCAGGAAATCGCGTGCGTGCGCGTATTCTTATTGAAATGCTCGAAATATTTTAAGAAGTAAACTTATTTATTATAAATGTATATATATATTTCGAATTACTTATATAATATTAACAATGCAACAACACACTTTTTCTATTAATAAAACTTAACTACCTTTTTCTACCACAAAGACTCAACCTATTGTCGTACTTTTCGCTCATTGTTGTAATCATATAAATTCTTCAAAATACCTGAAGAGTATTACATCTGGCACGTCGCATTTTATTCATACACGAGTAATATAACGCTTATATTTTTGTTCGCTCAAACATTGTTCTTTTTAACGATGGACAGTACCGAAAAGCTTTCATGTACGTTCAATGCGGTTATACGCCCGTTACACGTAGTAATTTAAAACTTCTTGTTGTGTGTAAAGCGCGTGATCAAATCCAACGCCCATTTCGGCTGATCCATCGGTACCATATGGCCTGCGTTTCGCACGAGGACCTCCGTCAAATTGTCAACGCTTTTCGTGTAACCCGCTAATTTACCCCCGACCATCCATACTTTCCTCGGCGTTTTCGCATACTTGTCCGCCCCGGGCCATTGCAATTTGTACAGGAAATTCTCCGTGAGCGGATACGCCACTATGATGTCTAATTGTCCATTGTAAATGAGCACTCTATAGTGTTGCAGAAGATCCGTCAAGAGATTCGCTACGGATTGCATTACGTCCCCTTTCAAATGTTCCTCGACGATCTTGGTCTCGACGTCGAAGCTGTTATTACCTACGTGTATGGAACGCCTAACGTCAGCTCTCTGAATCCACTCGTACATCCAATTGGAGGCATTATTTTCGTCCGTCATTAAATAATTGTAATAAAAGTCGAAACCGGTCAGATTGTGGAATAGAGACGGCGTGACGTTGATATCGCCGTTGAGAAGCGCGTCGAAAACTTCGAATGCCTCGACGTATTTCTTCTGTTGAATGAAATTACGGCCTTTGTTTTCGTAGATCTGAAACTGAGCCTTGCCGTTTCGATCTATCAATCCGAGCTGGTACAAATAATCGCTGTAGAGCAACTGATTCTCCGGATCGCACAATCCATTGCCAATGGCCAGACCTCTCAAATTGATCTTCACCTCAGCTTTGACATTGTGATCCTTAACGGCATGAGACACCGCCGGTACATACTTCCCGGCGTACGATTCGCCGGTGACGAAGAAATCATTATCCTGTAGTTCTGGGAACAACTGGAAGAACTGCACCAGTGCATTGAGAATGTCTTTCCCTACTTCCGTCTCGTTTCTTACGTATCCCTTGTCATCGCCGGTGAAGCTAAAGCCAGTACCGACTGGATTATCGATATAAATCACATTATGCGCTATGTTCCACGAGTACTTTCGCATCGTCAGAGTCTTGTTTTCAGTTACGATGAACGGGCCGTTTTCCGTGAAAAGACCGAACATAGAGGTTGCCCCTGGACCACCTTGCAGCCATAGTATCATCGGTGCGGTCTTTGGATTGTGCTGTAGCACACAAATAATTATACTTGAGCAATCTTAACTGTGTCAAGGGGAAAGCCGAACGCAGATTAATATGCGTAACCTTAATGTATTCTTCAAACTTGGAAAATATACAAATTAAACTATACAGATGTTTCGGTTTTCTAGAATCCTCGTCAGTGTAAACAAAAATATATATATGAAGGTACAAATATATGAAGGTTACATTAATCTGCGGTTGCATTAATACTTTGATCCTCACTGCTAATCTTTCTCATATAATTCTTATATCTTGGAGCCTCAACTTACATAGTTTACTATGAAAATTTAACAAACTAATCTCATGCCTCCAGATAAGATTTTTCCTACAGATACGTATATATTTGTATAAAATATTCTTTACAATAACCAGACTGCTTTCAGCATTATATACAACAAGACTTTCAACATTACTTACCATGGCTGGAAAGAACCAGAAGAAAAGATTCGAATTGTACGCTTTATTAACTGTCAAATAACCCGAGTAACTGCTAATATCTCCCATTTCTTTGTGTTGAACGACAGCCTTTTCCCGTGCCTCTTCAATTTTTCCGCTTTCTATCAAAGGTGTGAGGAAAAGCGGCGTCCCGACATCCTCTCCGTCGGGTACGTAATATTCTTTCCCTCGCGGATACACATTCAAGAATCTGCTCGTACTCGCGTAGGGTAGTACGAGGAATAACGCGCTCAAAGTGGAAATAAGTACTTTGTTCATGTTGACGCCGCAAATGCCTTACTTAGAGATCAGTAGAAGCACCTAATTGCAGTTTGTCACTGAATCGGACTGATCCGGTTTCGACTGATATCGCTGCTTTCCCGTCAATGATATCACACCAGTGCGAACTTAGGTTAAGTACGATGATGATTAAGTACGTTCTCTGTAAAGGTCGGTTGGATTGTGCTGAAACATCAAACGTTAGTTTGATCATGCGGTAGAAATTCTCTGAATTTCCTGAACTTCCGTTTCCGTTTCTTTGTTTATTGAAATTTAACTATTGAATGAATGAAATACGTTTCGTTAATTTATGATAAAATAGTAATAACAATAATATTCAAGAACAAATGATTTCGGTGGAATAAATACCTTATGTAAAGCCAATATTTGACATTTGTTCTATACCTTCTTTCAACGTATATATATAATAATAAATACTTGCAAGCTCAATCAGATTTGAATAGAAATTAGAAATCGTATTGCTATTAGAAATCGTATAATAAACAAATCGATGATTTTGATGGTTTTCTGCCTAAGAATCGATTACTCTCTTCGATATTTTCAAAATCGACTAATCCATATATCGATTGCTTCCTCTTTCATTTCGAAGTTTTGTGTTAAAGACCGTCTTGAGTTCATCTTAAGATGTTTCGTAGCCAATGAAATGAGCGGCACAGCATCTGAAGATGAACTTGAGACGGTCTTAAAAATAAGATCCGACTGTGAGTACCGGCTTATACATGATCCTTTCCATTTGTGATGCAGATGGCGTCAAAGTGCATACGCCAGTTATTGTATGATCAGCTGATCAAACCTAACTGTAACCGACATGCTCGATCCTTTCGCGCTCAAGTTCGTTGACAATCAAGCAAGGTTAGTATATAAATACATTGTGTACTTTTATTACTGTGATTTAACAACGAAGTAATGCGTATCATGTTCATGATTATTAATTATATATTTTCTACGTAAATTACATGAATGAGTCGGAGAATACTTTTTGATATTTATATATACTTTTGCGGTTTCAGTTACCTTGGCACGTCCACTGTATATATTAGCACAACGTATATATCCACATACCTATTTCGGAAATGAATGATTCTTTCTTGGAGGACTTAGGATTAATACCGGAAGAACCGAAGAAAACTTATCAGCAAGCGGATTGTTACATAACCACCAGGCATGCTACTTCATCTCCGCTGCTTAAGTTTTCCGAGCAAAATGAGAGAGATAATAACATCACAAGGCCACAGAAAGTACGTACCACATTAACGGTTCCAAGTATGCTTGACGTGAAGATCACAGGTGGCAAAGATCCTTCTTTGAAAGACTCCAAGAAGCAGCCTGATCAAAATATCAAGAAGCATTCCATGAAGATAAAAATGCCGGAGAGAAATGAGAAGGCAGAGAACAGAGTAAGAGCTGCGGATGTTAAAGTAAAAATGGACAATAACCAGCAGCACGGTGTTAACGGAGAAGCAAGGACAAAGTTACAAGAAACAAGACACCTCAAGCTACTTGAGAACAAAACTGCCAGCAAGGAACGCAATCGACGTTCTGGATCGCATAAAGAAACCACTCATTCCACTTTCCCTAAGGAAAACAAACGTTCTCCTGATTCATCCAACAATCATTCCTCGGATATTTCCAATAAGGAGAGCAGTCGTCCTTCAGATTCTTCCAAAGAGATCGATCCCCAAGACTCGGCTAAGGAGAAAGAAAAGTTGCCGGCCAGTTTGAGAAAGTTCGGTTGTAACATACAAGACCAAGATCCGGTCGTTTTGCTTACCGCTATTAAAGAGTTGATCAGCACGTATACCAAGCAGGAGAGCACGAAGATTCTGCGTACTATGCAGGAACTACATATAAATTCCCAAGTGACCTTGATAAAGAATCTCTTAAATCAGACGGACGATTTGATCAAAGAGATGCATCCCAGCAGGGATTCTGCCCGAGTGAGAATGCTGATCGAGGAGAACGAACACTTGCAGCAAGAGTTGTTTGTTTTGAAAGCGCAGAACAAGGATTTACAAAGTAAATTAGAAGAGTTCGAGTTTTTGAAGCAGGAAAACGCAGCCTTGAAACTGAAGTGCGACGAGCTGGCACAAACCTAATACGTTAATGATCTTCCATAATTTAAGTATTAATAAATTATAGCATAGTAATGCGCAAAAGAGCTTTTGTACGTATTAAAATCTAATATTGTTCGCGCCGTCCTTGAGAAATTATTTATTTTTTTTACTAAAATGTGCGTAGTACTAGTTAAGATACATGCATGCTATTTTAAAGGTACACAAAAGTCTGTTAAATACTTTCTATGACAAAATATTTGCAAATAAACACGTTTATATATTTGCTCATAAAAATGATATTACTAATCACCGAGTCTTTACCGATCAATACTTTTTATTCGTACGTAGTTTCTACACTGCTGTATTCTTCAAAGTCATTCTAATCAAGTGTTATTAATCAAACAATCAAGTGTTATTAAAAATATATAAAATTGTATCACAAAAAATGCTTTTAGAAATATATTCTCTTTTGTTTGTTTCTACATCTATATTAATAGGGTGTCGCAAAAAAATGTTACCACACTTTATTAGCTTTATTAGCTGCATTGAAAGCAAATTGTACGATATTTAATAAACACTTCATAAAAAATCAAAGTGTGGTGACATTTTTTGCAACACTCTATATATTGAGTAAAAGTATGTTACGTACAATAATTTTCCTTTTATTTCATATTATTGGATACTTTATATTATTTTAAAATGTATGAAATATGTAAATGCTTTCTTATCCTCAATGTGTCCAACACGATTATATTCTAAAATATAAGAACATTATTTTGCTGATTTTTACTTTAAAACAAATAGGCTCATAGCAAATTTCCGAGTTTACTGTAAAACGAGATTTCTTTATTTTCAATTACTTTCATTTATCGAACCGCACCGAGGCAGTTGGCCCGTACAATTTCGAACATACTTGCAATATACATATTCACGAGAAGGGACGTTTAAGGGACACTAAACCAAAACAAAATTATTCGCTCTACGAAAATCACAAACACAAGAGAGAAATATTCCTTCATTTCCTCACTACGATGATGATTCATCAGTGTGACTTATCGCAAGTCTCGCAATTTACGATAACATTTATCATGGGTATCACGCATTTTGTTCAATAAACCGATTAGCATCAAAACGGTGGCGTTTTTGTCGAGCGCGTGGGTGGGACTTTGCGCCCCCGCACCAATATTTTCCCTTCGCGCGTGGTAACGCCGCACGTACACGTGATAACAATCGCGTTGTTACATCGCACCCGTTGAATGAGGCCGCCAAGTGTAGAAGACTCGGTGATTAGTAATAGATCTCAATTCTCGTCGCGTCGTGTCGCGGTCGATGGCCTCGTGTGCGTCAAATACACACGAGGTGCGTTATCGAGGTGTGTGATTCATCGTGGTAACAACCTTGTACAGCATGCACGTTAAACGTAGGAAAATGTTGTGGTGAAACACTACGCTGTGGACGGTTCCACAAACGCGGCTCTTTCCCCGAGGTAAGCGATCAGCCCGTTGAGCGTGAGGTTAAGTCCAGACGCAGCATCATTTTCTCACTCAGATCGATATCGAGCGCGGTGTTTACTTCGTGACAGCGCAGATGATTCCTCCTTCCAACGGGACATTTTTTATCATTTCCAGATAAATAATATTCAAATGTGTTACGTATCGATACGATTAACCTCCTCCGACCTTCACAGTTTCAAACATTCCTCCTCTCGTATCAGAATCCTAGACTCGCTCCGCAGACTCATACAGCAGTTCCAACGAGCAATCGAAAGAAACTTGATGACTGACGTATGTAAATAATAATGAAAGTAGAATCCAAAGTGTGACTTTTGAAGGTTGAGAAAAGAATCGTTACGTTGTCCATTATTGTCTGAAAATCACTTGTGCTGTCACAAAGTAATTCCATGGTAACAATGCACGTGTATATTTTTGGTGTGTCCCTTTTGTACAGGATAATAGATGCATTTCGACAACGCAAATATGTCACTGAAGAACGTTATCGACTGGACACCTTCCGATGTAGCGACATGGCTGAAAGAAACCGGCTATGAGGAATATGCGAGCTTATTCTACAGGCACGACATCGACGGGAAGGTGCTTCTGATGCTGAAGGAGGAGGACTTGAAGTCTGAACACATGAACATAAACAAGATCGGTGCTATAAAAAAGATATATCTCGCGATCAAGCAATTGCAAAGGGACAATATAGCTGTTTTGTTTGACTTAGGATACATGGATCTGTTCTCATCGTCAAATTTTTATACTCATCATCAGAATAAACACGAGGTAAACATATAGACGATTCTAAGGGACATTTCCGTGTTGCGAGTCTGATCGATACACGAGATGAAGTCATAGTCGCGTGGTATTTTACGATTAATGTTGTCAGATGCCCAGTACCGGCACGAACAATGAAGTATCCGTGGAGCATGAATTTTACTCGGCTTCCGTGTCAGAAGACGGGCATGCTTCTCACTTACCGCCCGAAATCTGGAAGACCGTAATTAGCTTAGGATATTTGTTTATTGTAACATGGATCACCGCCTTTGTGATGGTCATCGTTCACGATCGAGTGCCTGATATGAAAAAGTATCCCCCATTGCCGGACATATTTTTGGACAATGTACCTCATATCCCGTGGGCGTTTGATATATGCGAGGTCATCGGAACCCTGCTTTTCGCGATATGGCTTGTTGTGCTTACGTTTCACAAATATAGGTAAGAGGAAGATGCATGAGAGAAAATCAGAATCGCGGCCATCTCTCTCTGTTTCTGTTCTGTGATAAAGTGACGGACGCTAATTTAACGGGTTGTATTAAATCTTGCACGACACACAGGTTCATTTTGTTACGGAGGTTCTTTGCACTGTCAGGTACAGTCTTCCTATTGAGATGCGTGACAATGCTCATTACTTCCTTATCGGTGCCGGGTGCGCACTTGCAGTGCCAGCCGCGGAAAGTTCCAGACGAGGACTGGACAGGGTGAGCTCCCGATCCTATTGTGATCCGTCGTCGTTTGTTTCTTTCTTTATGCACGTTTATTTATCCCGATATATACATTGCTTCAGTTCCGCATACGTCGAATTGTACAATAAAATAGCAATGGCTTATGTTATATGGCGGGGCGCCGGCATGTCTATTCAAGGTGTGAGAACCTGCGGGGATTACATGTTCAGTGGACATACGGTGGCTTTAACTATGCTTAACTTCTTCATTACAGAATGTAAGTAACAACGTTTTCGTTATATATATATATATATATATATATATATATACACACATATATTTCACTCTTAAGATTCCTGTCTTGCCGTTTCACCAATGTGCAATGATTTATGACGTCGGAAACGACGAAAATCGCGTAAGGTCACAGAGTCGCTTGAATTATTTATTACTCTTGATTTGTTGCAGATACTCCTAGACATTTGTACTTTTTACATACTTTCACATGGATGCTCAATATGTTTGGTATCTTTTTTATCTTGGCGGCGCATGAACACTATTCCATCGACGTTTTCGTGGCGTTTTATATTACTTCAAGATTGTTCCTTTATTATCACACATTAGCGAACAATCAGGCGCTGATGCAGCGTGATTCAATTAGAACCAGAATTTGGTTCCCGTTGTTCAGTTTCTTCGAGGCGTCCGTCGACGGCATTGTTCCTAACGAATACGAATCGCCGTCACTGATCGTTTGCAACTTAGTAGGTGCGGGAAAAAACACCTGGCATTGTCTACGTTCAGTGATTAGCTTCCAAAAAGCGCAGCGTAGCATGAATGGTAGTATAAACAGCACAAAGAAAGAACAATAACCGTTACGTTCATATTGCGTTCTCTCTCTCTCTCTCTCTTTTTTTTTTTACTTTTATACGAAACTTTTAAGGATGTTGACCGTTTGTCTGGCAGATCTGTTTATACGCAGAAATGATATATTAAAAACAAGATATAATTAATTCGAGATATTTATTTTTATGCGATAGCATAATTACGATGTGCGTATATACATTTATACACGTATATATGTGTGTGTATATATCTCTGTTATATATTATTATATAATATTTATATACATATATATATATATATAATTTTATTTGTAATATATATATACACATATATTACGAAGAAAATTGGAATAAATTGAAGAGTTTACAGGTCTAAATCATATTGATGCTTAAAAATTCGAATGTATCGCACATCATTTTGTAATTTGTACAATCTCATTTTATTAAAATATGGGGATGCAGTATTTCTGAAACATCAACTTCAAAATCGACTTAAGCTCTTNCTTCCAAAGACAAAACATAGTATGTAACGTATTATATCTTGTTGATTCAACATATATTTTTCAAATTATCTAGAATTTTTGTATTTATTTATTTCTTTTTCATTATCATATATTAAGTAATGCCCCTCTCTCTTTCCCCCCCCCCTCTCTTTCTCCGTATGATGTATGTACTTTTTTTTTATTTTCTTCTCTCATATCGTGAAAAAAGAATATTATACAAAATGAACATTTTGTATATATATCAGAGGTTGAATGAATTGTAATAACAAAATTTCACAAGGAACTTTTAACAATTCTGCTCGATTTGTTATTATATGTTTCATTAACAATACTATTAAAATTAATGTTGATATTTCAAAATTACTGAATTATATGTATCTATAAATCAATTAAATATGGTTAACATCTCTTCTTTTCCCTTTCTATTATTGATAACATTTGTTTCTGAGAAGAAGTACATATTTGTGCAACATACATATGCATTCCCGATAAAATGAATGATTTAAGATATAAGAGGGAAGATGTATTGTGGATCAGAATTAAAGACGTTAATTATTGTTGTAACTCAGTGCGAATTTGCATATAAAAGACCTGTACATTATGGCTGTTTGAAAGCGTATGATTACACGAAAATTATACAAATAATGATAGCTTTTTCACGTCTCGCATCCATATCTATTTTTTATTTATGCGGTAAATACAAAGCTTGTTAATGTTATCGAGTATTGATTATTGATAACTTGTCGATATGATGCCCGATTGTTGTGTTGATATTTATATTACCCCGAGAAAATATTTTCCGTATTTAATTAAATATAATTATATATGAGAAATTTTTTCC